GCTATTTCATTCATTCAGATCTCAGATGTCTTCTGCTTGTGTTCCCTTTATTTTTTTGAGCAATATATATACATATATACATATACATATACATATACATGTACATGTACATGTACATATACATATACATACATACATACATACATACATACATACATATATATATATGTAGGTCTTTGGTTATTCGGGTCTTCTCCCACGTAAAATTGGAAGTGTCTTGGCGACGTTTCGACGAAGTCTCATTCGTCATCTTCAGGCTGGTGTTCTCGGCTTCGTGCTTCCAGGAGCAATGTGAGATCGCAGCTGTCTCTTCCTTTTAACTGCTAGTGGAGGTGTGAGCTGATTGGGTGGGAACTTGGCTGTGTTCTGATTGGGTGGAGGTGTGTTCTGATTGGTTAGGGGCTTGGCTGTGCTCTGATTGGCTGGGGGTGTGTTCTGTTTGGGTGGGGGCTTGGTTGTGCTCAGCTTAGTCTGAGTTGCAGGGGGATTTGAGCTGGTGAGCTGTGTTGTTGTTGTTTGGCTTCATGTTTGTGGCCGTGCGAGCTCTTCATGGTGGGTGTCAGTCTGCTTCATGTATGGATTGGAGGGGTTTAAAGTGGCTAATGATGCAGCTGCGGTCTGGCTTCTGGTCCTTGGTCGTGGCTCATTATCAGTGTGGGTTTGAGTCTGCTTTCTGCGTGGATGTGTGGTGGTGACATCAGGTGTGGCTCTCGTGAGTGTGGGTCTGGTGTCATTCGTCGTGTTAGGGACTCGTTTGTCAATAAGGGCGGGTTTCCAAATGGCTGGTAGGCAGGAGGTATCGTCTCGTTTGTTCATGCTGTGTGGGTGTTTTTCTATCTCGATGGCTTCTCTGATTATTCTGTTGTTAAAGTGTTCAGTTTTGGGTGATAGTTCTGGTCTTTTTAAAGTCAATATCATGTCCTGTGGCTTTAAGGTGTTGGACCAGGAAGAAGTTGGTTCCTCTTTTCTGACTGAGTTCTTGTGTTCTTATTCGTCTGTTGGTTTGTCCGATGTATGTGGTGGGGCAGGCGGTGCATGGGATTTCATATACTCCTTGATTTTCTAACTCAATTTTGTCTTTGGGGTTCCTTAGCTGGTGGATATTTTTCGGTTTGTGCAGAATGCTGTCTTGATGTTATGTTTGTGGAGGATTTTGCTTCTTCTGTCTGTGGTGCCTTTATGTATGGGAGGAGGGCCTTGCCGTTTTCTTGTTCTCTGTCTTGGATTTTAGTGGGGTTTTCTTTTTGGATTAGGTTGGTGATCTTATTTCTTTGGAATCCATTGGATGTGAGTACGTTAGTGAGGGTGTGTAGTTCGGTTTTTAGGTGTTGTTCGTCAGCTAAGCGTTTTGTTCTGGAAATGAGTGTCTTGGCTACAGAGTTGATCTGGGCAGGGTGGTGGTGTGAGAGTGCGTGCAGATAGCGTTTGTGTGTGTTTTCTTCTGGTATATAGTGTGTCCTAGGGAGCCATTGGATTTTCTGTAGACTAAGACATCCAGGAAGGGAAGTTGGTTGTTCACTTCTGTTTCCCATGGTGAACTGTATTTTGGGTGTAGGCTGTTGAGGTGTGTGAGGAAGTTGTCCAGTTTTTCTTTCCCATGTGGCCAGATTATGAAGTGTCGTCCACATATCTGAGCCAGAGTTTGGGTTTGTGATCGGATTTTTCTAGGGCTTGGGTTTCAAAGTATTCCATATAGAGGTTGGCAATGACAGGTGAGAGGGGTGATCCATGGGTGCTCCTTCTGTTTGTTTGTATTTGTGTCCATTATAGATGAAGTATGTGTTGGATAGGCAGTGGTTGGTCAGATCTAAGATGTGCTTGGGGGGTTATATTTGTTTTGGATAACTGTCAAGGCTTCTTTGATTGGTACTTGGGTGAAGAGGGATATGACATCAAAGCTCACGAGTAGGTCACTGTGCTGTAAGTTTGTTGCTTTATGATGTCTATGAACTGGAATGAGTTTTTTACATATGAGGTAATGGATTCTGCATATGGATTCTGCATATATTCGTCTGTTGGTGATGGATTCACCAACAGATGAATAAGTACACGCATAGAAGAACACAAGAACTCAGTCAGAAAAGAGGAACCAACTTCTTCCCTGGTCCAACATCTTAAAGCCACAGGACATGATATTGACTTTAAAAAGACCAGAACTATCGCCAAAACTGAACACTTTAACAACAGAATAATCAGAGAAGCCATCGAGATAGAAAAACACCCACACAGCATGAACAAACGAGACGATACCTCCCGCCTACCAGCCATTTGGAAACCCGCCCTTATTGACAAACGAGTCCCTAACACGACGAATGACACCAGACCCACACTCACGAGAGCCACACCTGATGTCACCACCACACATCCACGCAGAAAGCAGACTCAAACCCACACTGATAATGAGCCACGACCAAGGACCAGAAGCCAGACCGCAGCTGCATCATTAGCCACTTTAAACCCCTCCAATCCATACATGAAGCAGAGACAGCACCATGACACCCACCATGAAGAGCTCGCACGGCCACAAACATGAAGCCAAACAACAACAACGCAGCTCACCAGCTCAAATCCCCCTGCAACTCAGACTAAGCTGAGCACAACCAAGCCCCCACCCAAACAGAACACACCCCCAGCCAATCAGAGCACAGCCAAGCCCCTAACCAATCAGAACACACCTCCACCCAATCAGAACACAGCCAAGTTCCCACCCAATCAGCTCACACCCCCACTAGCAGTTAAAAGGAAGAGACAGCTGCGATCTCACATTGCTCCTGGAAGCACGAAGCCGAGAACACCAGCCTGAAGATGATGAATGAGACTTCGTCGAAACGTCACCAAGATACTTCCAATTTTACGTTGGGAGAAGACCCGAATAACCAAAGACCTACATACATACATACATACATACATACATACATATATATATATATATATGTAGATTTCATAGATATATTTATATATGTTTTCGTAGATTTTCACGGGTACAGGTACGCAAGTCTTGGCATATTCGGGTCTTTTCCCGTGTAAGATTGAGAGTATCTTGGCGACGTTTCGATGAGGTCCCACTCGTCATCTTCAGGCTGGTGTCTTCGGCTTCGTGCTTGTGTGAGCAAAGCATGATCAGAGATGCCATCTCTCTATAAATACTGGTGGGGCGGTGTGGAGTGCTGGCTTTGATGTTGTAAGCGGGTTGGTTGGCTGTGTTGTTACATCTTGATTAGTAGATGGAGTTGATGTTTGCAGATTAGTCGGCTGTTTCATAACATCCTGTGTGGCCGAGGTCCTAGCTGTATGCCCATTAGCCTTTTGTGTTTTAACGGCCTGGGTAATGGGTTGTGTGGTAGCATCCTGAGCTCTAGTGTTGTGACATCCTGAGCTTTAGTGTTGTAACATCCTGAGTTATGTGATATATTGTCTTGAGCAGATGGCTGTGCTGCAACATCCCGGGCTTTGGTTTGGCTCCGAGTCTGAGGTCTTGTCATGTGCTCATGGTGTGTGTTAGTTTGCTTTGTGTGGGGATCAGAGGGAGGGGGGGACCACCCAATCCCATAGATGAAATGCAATCACTGTCCAGGGGCCGGACCACAGTGCTATCGCCACCTGCTGAGCCCCCCTCCGATCCCCACACAAAGCAAACTAACACATGCCATGAGCACATGACAAGACCTCAGACTCAGAGCCAAACCAAATTCCCAGGCAGAAAGTTGTCTTGATGTTGTGTTTGGGGAGAATTTTGCTGATTTTATCTGTGGTGCCTTTGATGTAAGAGAGGAGGGCGATGCCGTTGTCCTGTTCTGTGTCTCGGTTCTTGGGGGGTGTCTCCCTTTGGATTAGGTTGGTAATTGTGTTTATTTGGAAACTCTTTGGAATCTGTTCAAGATTAATACATTTGTGAGAGTGTGTAATTCAGTTTTCAGGTGGTCTTTGTTGGCTAGGCGTTTGCTTCTGGAGATGAGAGTCTTGCTATGGAGTTGATCTGTGCAGGGTGGTGATGTGATTGAGTGTTTAAGTACACTTCCCCACCAGTATTTATAGATGGTGGTTGCATTTCGTTTATGGGATGGGATTGGGTTTGAATCTGGTGAGGATGATTGGTGGTGGCGTCATGTGTTATCCTGGGTCTGGTGTCAATGTTTGTGGCTGGGACTCGTTTGTTGACTAGGGCTAGTTTCCAGATGTCTGGTAGGCAGGAGGTATCGTCACGTTTATTCATGTTATGGGGGTGCTTCTCTATTTCGATGGCTTCCATAATTATTCTCTTGTTGCTCAGTTTTGGAGATTAATTTGGTTCCTTCAAAATCAATTTCATGTCCTGTTGTTTTAAGGTGCTGGAAAAGGGAGGGAGTTTTTTCTTCTTTTCTGACTGCGTTCTTGTGTTCTGCGATGCATGCATTTATTCTCCTATTGGTTTGTCATCCTTTCATTTTCCTGTTTTTTTTAAACTTCTGCATAAATCCTTGTTTACATGCAAAGACTTCAGAATATACTGTACTATACTCTTCTGAGCAGACATATTTCTAAATTTTAGCTTCAGAGTTGAGAAATCATCTTACATTGTGACTATACATTAAGAGTGATATGAAAAGTTAAGGCAAGCAGCAGGGTGGCTAATTTAGCTCCATCCTCATCTAGCTATCTTGTGATCCCTGGTTTACCAGTTTATGCCTCTTCAGCAGGTGCTCTTCCTATACCAGATAACTCCTAGAAATAATGCAGAAACTTGAGTCACATTGTAAGGCAACTCAGAGATACTTGGAAGGGACGTTTATTGTCAGCTACTGATTGAACAGGGAGCAGCAAAAATCCAACATGTCAGCAACAATAGCAAATGTCGCTTATGCAATGAGAAAAATGAAACAGTGAATCATCTTATCAGTGGCTGCAGCAAAATCTCACGGACTGATTATCTGCAACATCATGATAGAGTTTCCAGAATTATATATTAGAAGCTTTGCCAGACATTTGGGTTCAAATGCAGCAAAAGTTACTGGGAACACCAAACACCAAACTGAGAAAGTTCTTGAAAATGAGCAAGGTCCTGTGGGACTTTCAGAGCCAAACAGACAGACATCTGGATCACAACATGCCTGATATCGCTATTGTGGAAAAGAAAATAGTCTGGTTCATTGATATTGTAGTACCAGGTGATGCACGAATTGAAGAGAAACAGCTAGAAAAAAATGACAAAATATTGTGATTTACAAATTGCAAACTTCACATTCACTTGCATTGATGATGCTACCTAGTTGGGTAATTAAATGTCTATAAGCAAACAATCATACTCAAAGAGCATCAACGACTCCTTAGAGAAACCTATGATGTAACTGTTAAAGATTATGGCAGTCTTAATTCAGGAGGGATTGATTAATTAATTAATTCAGGGCTGAAACATCTAGGGATTCAATTCTAGATTTAAAATTCAGAATAATCTAGCCAGACAGATGACAGTGTCAGTTTTACTACCACATTTTTAAAAAAATCTACCCAGTTCCTTATTCCTTTAGGAAATCTATGAATATTCCTTTATTCCTTTAGGAAATATATGAATTTTGATAAGTTTTTAAAACTACAAAATAAGCTTTAGAAAATGTTATTCATCCGTATTAATAGTTCAGATGCATTTGTTTTCCCAGATATAGGATCTTCAAAAATTGCAGTGTTCCTCTGGTTTGTTAGCTACCATAAGTGCTGAAGTCCCAACAAATTCTATTCATATGGAAAACAGTGTCATGGGGAAATGAAAGTGTTATGTATTGATACTTTTGAGCGGGAGTTTCAAACCTGCCTACGTTTCTGATTGGCTGACAGTCCCTCCAGGATTGTATATAAGGAGGGCTGCAGCCTCTGAGTTTTTGCTGAAGTCTCACTGTAAATTAAAGAGCTGTTGTCACTTGCTTGGTTGTGCCTCTCGTTATTCCCGAACCACTTCATTGGCGACGAAGGTGGGATAGAGGTCACAACAAGCGAACCAGTGAGACCACGAGCTTCAGCTAGGCGACGAGGCGAACTACAGGAGGCATACCGAACATGTCTGCCTACGTTCCGCCCAAGCCTTTTGATCCGACCCGCGAAAAATGGGTCTCGTACCTGACGAGGTTCGAATGCTCGCTCGAAGCCAGCGACATGCAAGGGCTCTCCGCTAATCGGAAGAGGGCCCTCTTCCTAAACCACTGTGGACCGGACGTGTTCGAGATGGCAGAGTCACTGTGCGAGCCAACGCCGGTCCAGACCGTTTCCTGGGACACCCTGATGGCCACGCTCCGGGCTCACTACGCTCCCGTGCCCTCCAAGTTCGTGCAATGATACCAACTCAGACAGCGCGTGCAGCGAGAGGGAGAACCGGTCAGCGCATACATGGCCAGCCTGAGAAAAGCCGCAACCCATTGCGACTATAGAGACTTGGACGATGCGTTGCTTGAGCAACTCATCTGTGGTGTCCGGGACATTAGGCTGCAATGGCGCCTGCTCGCCAAGCCTGATTTAACGCTTGCTGGAGCCCTAGACGAGGCCAGGGCTCATGAAGCCTCCACAAAAGCCGCAGAAACGCTGCAGCGTCCGCTGACCAGCAAAGACAACCCCAAGTCTGCCCCGGTGCACAGAGAAGACGCCGGATCCAGCTCGGAGTCTGAGTCGGATGAAGACGTCTTCCGAACGGAGCACCAGAGAAAGGACACTGGCAGCCCCCGGCGAAGCTGTCCCAGCTGTGGAGGGCACCATGACAGACTGTCCTGCAAATATAGGGAGGCTATTTGCAGGCGTTGCGAGAAAAAAGGGCACTTGGCGCGAGTCTGTAGAGCCATTCTGCCCAAAAAACACCAACCACGTGAGCGCCGCAGCCAACCAGAATCAACGCGCCAAAAACAACCAACGAGAGAAGGCGGCGCGGAAAAACGGCGCGAATTTGAACCTCGAGATGGCCACAGCATTCACATAGACCAGGCCAGCGCGGAAATCGAGGACAAAGTCAGCACGGTGGTCGAAATCAACGGCAAGCCATGCTCAATGGAGATCGACACCAGATCAGCTCTCTCCATAATGTCTTGGGCGACCCTAAAGACCCTCCTGCCGTCGTTCCGGAAGGACCAGCTCTCCAAACAGAGACTGCGCATTCTAGACTACCAGGGGAACCGAGTCCCCCTCGAAGGCGTGGGCACGTTCTGAGTCACCTACGGAGACTACGAAAGAGACCTGCCACTGACCATCGTCACGAAGCAGCTTCCCAGCCTTCTCGGCATGGGGTGGTTCCGAGCCCTCGGCATGGGCTTCACCGGTGTCCACCAGATGCTCAAGTCATCGTTAAAAGACAGTCTCCTGACCGAGTTCCAGGACGTTTTCGGGGACACGTTGGGCAAGTATGTGGGGACCCCTATCTCCCTTAATCTAGACCCCAACGTAGCCCAAATAAGACTCAAGGCCAGACGGGTGCCTTTCGCATTGAAACCAAAGATCAATGCAGAACTGGACAAACTGATTAAACAAGGGGTGTTGGTTCCCGTTGACCATGCAAAGTGGGAAACCCCTATAGTGACCCCAGTAAAGTCTGACGGCTCAATTAGAATCTGCACCGACTACAAGTGCACGATCAACAAGGCTTTGCAGCCGAGCGCCTATCCGGTGCCGATCGTGCATCATCTACTACACTCCCTGGGGCCCGGGAAAATTTTTGCCAAATTAGACCTGGCTCAGGCCTATCAACAATTACCAGTTGATGATGCCACGGCAGAGGCACAAACGATTGTTACTCATAGGGGTGCATTCAAATGCACCAGGCTCCAGTTTGGGGTGAGCGTCGCACCCGGCCTGTTTCAAAGCACCATGGAGCGCCTTCTACAAGGGCTTCCCGGAGTGGTGCCCTATTTTGATGATGTTCTAGTCAGCGCTCAGGACGAACGTCAGTTAGGGGACAGAGTAAGGAACGTCCTGTCTAGATTTAGGGAAGTGGGACTACGGTTAAAGAAAAATAAATGTATGATCGCTGTCCCCTCCGTTGAATTTTTGGGGTACAGGGTGGATGGCACAGGCATCCACCCTACCGAAAGCAAGGTGAGAGCAATTAAGAGCGCACCTGCCCCCAAGACCAAAGCTGAGCTCCAAGCCTTCCTTGGACTGCTCAATTTTTACTCAATGTTCCTGAAAGACAAAGCTACCGTCGCAGATCCCCTACACAAACTATTGGGGAAGAATGTACCATGGGTCTGGGGGAAACCACAAGCAGCCGCTTTTGAGGCAGTTAAGAGACTTCTATCAGAAGACAGTTTCCTAATCCAATACAACGCATCGCTACCGCTTGTATTGGTTTGTGACGCCTCCCCCGTAGGAGTTGGTGCCGTCCTGGCCCATAGACTTCCGAACGGCCTAGAGGCACCCATTGCGTTTTACTCTCGCACCCTGTCAAGCGCAGAGCGAAACTATAGCCAATTGGACAGAGAGGCTCTGGCTGCAATTGCGGGGGTTAAAAAGTTCCACGAATATCTCTTTGGCTGGCAATTCGAACTTGTGACTGATCACCGGCCCTTGCTAGGACTTTTGGCAGGCGACAGGCCCACCCCCGCTGCTCTGTCCCCACGCTTGACTAGATGGGCAATTTTTCTTTCGGCCTATTCATACCAGCTTGTACATCGACCTGGACGGACCCTGGGCCACGCGGATGCCCTCAGCCGCTGTCCCCTACCTGACTTACTGACCAATCCAACACCTGAGGCCTCCGTCCTTCTACTGGACACATTAACTTTGGGACCTATTTCCTCTGCCGAAGTGGCTAAAGCCTCAGCCAGGGACCCGATGTGATGGGGTGGATGCTAAAAGGGTGGCCGGTCAAGGTGGACGGGGGGGACTATCAAGGTTTTGTAAACAAACGAAACGAACTGTTTATGCAAGGTGGTTGTTTGTTGTGGGGTGATCGGGTGTAGTGCCAACAAAACTACGAACGAGGGTCTTAGAATTGTTGTACGAAGGGCATCCGGGCATTGTCAGAATGAAAAGTTTAGCCCGCAGTTACGTATGGTGGCCCAACATGGACCAAGTTATCTCTGAGTGGGTGGGGAAGTGCAGACCCTGCCAGGAGTCTCGCCCCGATCCCCCGGTAGCGCCCATCCGAGAGTGGGAGAAACCAAAAGGGCCATGGGGGAGGATCCATATTGATTTTGCTGGCCCCTTCCATGGGCAAACGTTTTTAATTGTAGTAGATGCCTTTTTGAAATGGCTTGAGGTCATTCTGATGCCCTCTACCACAGCCGAGGCTGTTATTAAAGCCCTTCGCAAGCTGTTTGCCACACATGGCCTACCGGATACCCTAGTATCTGACAACGGCCCTCAGTTCACAGCAACCCTGTTCGAGGGATACTTGGCCGGACTGGGCATCCGCCATGCCCTATCGGCCCCGTTCCACCCGGCTTCTAACGGATTGGCCAAACATTTTGTAAGAACGGCCAAAGAGGCCCTATCCAGACTAGATAACGGGGACTGGCAGGCCAGGATAGATCAATTCTTAGCTGTCCAGCATGCCACACCATGCACGGCCACAGGGAGAAGCCCAGCAGAGCTCCTCATGGGCAGGAAGCTCCGGTGCGTGTTAGATAGGCTTCACCCCAACTATTCGCACGAAAATTTCAAGGGAGAGACCTCCGGACTAAGACAGTTTCAGGTTGGGTCCCCAGTGTTCGCTCGCAACTATGCCAGCGGACCTCTATGGGTTGCAGGAACCATAGTGGGCATAATGGGCCCGAAATCTTATACGGTAGACGTTGGGGTAGACAGACTCTGGAAGCGCCACATAGACCAGCTGAGAAAAAGGGTAGTCGGCGAAGCAAACATAAATTTAGACATATCTGAGCCTAACTATAACAACTTTCCCAAAACAGCTAACTCAAGCCCGGGTTTGCGAGAATACTTAGCTGACAAGCCCTGGTTCCAGCGCCGCCCCAGCGAGTCGCCACTCCCAACCGGGGATAACCACGCCCCGGACAAAATCCAGGAGGTTCCATTGGCGGAGCCGGGAGAGACAGAAAGTCCCTCCGACCAGCTCGACGCCCCACCAAACACTGAAATGCGCAGGTCAACTAGGACGAGAACTCGCCCTGGGCACCTGCGAGATTTTGTGTGTACTTATGTAAATTTTTGAATGACAGTGCCTTCTGGGAAGGGAGGGGTGTTATGTATTGATACTTTTGA